TAGCACGCCTTAAAATCAAGGCGAATTGAAGCTTTGGCGTCCCCTTGTAGGGGCCCTGACCCTCAGGTTGGGAACCACTGCTGAACCTCAGCATGTTAGCTTGTAGCCGGGCGCTCCCAGAGCTAGCAGCCGGTCTTTCACCTCGCAGGCGTCTGTTGATTTGTTTGTGTTACAGCCACCTGCTCCGTCTGGCCTTTAACACCAGAACACAATGTCCCTGTTCTCCAGCAGCATGAGGTCTCTCTCTCTGGCTGTCTGTCTCTCTGGCTGTCTGTAAATAAAAATAAATGAAAACAATCAAGATTACAAACGCTAGTAGCAGAAAGAACAATTATCAGACATATAATCTCGATGAATAGAACAAACTACAGAACAGAAATACACACAACACTGAATATCAGATACAGAATAAAATTCATAAACTTCAACCATAAGTTAATTATTCCAATCACATTCGAAAATCAGATCTTGACGTCACAGCAAGGTAAGCTCTACAGTAGAATGAATATATCGATAGTCACTTCCCATCAGAAACGAAAACAAAAGACACACCAGAATAGAACACGCATCCAACAAAGTGAACATCAAGAGCTACGCTACAAAACTAGCACAGAACAACGATTCCAACACAAAAACCAATATCAAAAGTCACAATAATACATATATCATACATACAACATATTATATCCACCAAGCCTGAAACCAACCAGACCGCTCAGAAAGAAACATATCAAATACAAAATTGTAAAGAAACAGCGACCTGAGCCTGGCCTTTAGTAGGGTTTTTGGGGAGCTTAGAATGTCACTGATTGAATCGACCTAAAATATGGGAGCCATCATCAACTCAAAGACCCTGCAATAGATGTGAGTAAGAGATAGATGAGTAATAAACCACGCCAAAAAGAAGAGAATCATACCAGCCAAAAAACCTAGTTTACATTAAAGGATGAAACACACACAACAACACAACACACACACATCTCCTGACCATCAACCCGAAGAGCAACCGAACAACGACAACGCTCCTACCTTCCTCCTCAGGCCAATGGTTTCTCATCGCGAAATCACAAGCCAAAAACTCAACATGCAAGAAAATCAAAAATCCTCCTCATTCTGATCCTTTCCCATTTCTCATCATATACCGCCTAGTCTGGAATTTTCCTATCATCATCTCTCGTATCATCTCCCTGATACTAATCACCATCCAAAAACAACAAATCCAGTCTCTCTCCATACCCTCCATTCCCATCCATCCCACCTGTCGTTACATAATCAAGTCAAACACCAATCCTCATATCCACATAATAATAACTCACGATACCTGATCAAGACGCCCTCATCATAACAAACAGACTCTCAGACGAAAAAGAACAAGCAGCCTCAAACAAAAAGGATCTCAAATCAGATCACTCCTCACCACCTACCATCCCTGACACACGAATTCAATGCTTCTCATCACTCTCAAATCAATCCACCCCTCTTGATTCACCAGACACACACAACCACCACAGCCGCAAGAAGAGAGACAATAAAAGAAACAGAACTAGAAATGAGTACCAACATTTCTAAATCATCTCAATCTCCTCTCTCCATCAAAATCCATTCATCTCCACCCTGACCGAAAGCAGAAAAGAGACACAAGAACCTGTCAGACTGAAAAACTTATCATCACATGAATGAATGAGAGGTAAATGACACAGAATATTGTATCGAACATTAATAAGGCCCACCTCTCCGCTCTGAATATAACAACCTTTATTCTGTATCATAAGGTAGAAAGACAATTCGCTCCAAGCGTCTCCTGTGAGAACTACTAACGAAACGCTGCAGAACATAATTGTCAGCAAATTAGCCACCTCAATAAAGACGTCCATAAGTGATCGATTTTCCATTAGTGTAATACGGATCGCCAGGATGTGCTTGCAAGTGCAAAGCTGGTAGCGCCGCGTGGAGCCTCCTAGCCAATGAGGCTGTACGGACAAACGACACGCTCCATCATATTATACTGACAACCGGTCATGTCCCTGAACTACGTGGACTCTGAATTAAGAGCTGCGGATGTCCATGTCACTCCGCCGTATGGGAGCATAAAACGATTACAATCATCTACCAAAATCGGAAATCGCTAAACGTAACCGTTTCCGATATGCAATACGGTAGAAAACATAAATGGCAATAGTAAATACAAGTTCCAGGTTTAACAATTAGTCGCGCAACCCTCAGCTGTTACCAAGGAGACCGGATCATAACTCTGTGGTAAAAAAACTGATAAATAAACCCATGAATAATATAATTATTATTTAGTGATGTTATTATTCATATGTATATCTTAGGGTCTAGAATTGGCGGGTGGGTGAAAAATATTCGTTACTAAATGATAGCCTCACTTTCGAAGGTGAATTACAGAGAACCTAATATAGAGATCCTTTCAATTAAACATTCATATTCTCGGGAAACAAAAATATACTCCGAAATACTGAACTAACATGTCACCAAAAATACTAGAGACGAGTGTGATGTGAAATTGATGTGTTAATACGATGTTATGTATTAATGTATATGTGTGTGTATTTGTCTTTGTTTTGTGTTCTTTATTAGTGATAGTGTGTGTGTATCGTTCGATAGATATATTTGTTTGGTGTAGATATGATGTAGTATCGTGTGTTTAGATGTGTAATTATATGTGTTGTTTGTATGATAGTGTGAGATGTAGTGTGAGTGTTGTGTATTATGTAGGTGTGCTATTGTTGTTGTTTATGTATGAATGTTGTTGTTTGTAGTGTGTAGTTGTGTGTTAATTTGTCTGATGTGTTTTGTATTAGTGTGTGTGTGTTGTTGTGTGTGTGATAATTATTGATACGTGTTTGTATTATATTGTGTTTGTTGTGTGTAGTTTGTTTTGTTGTTTTATTAGTTATTTGTGTATGTGTGTGTTATTTGTTGTGTTAAATACTGTTGTAGATCATGTTGTAATTTATAGTTGTGTGGATAATTTTTTATGTTTTGTATTGATCGTGGTGTTGTTGTGTGTTAGTTATGTTTTGTGCTTGAATATGTGATAGTTGATACGATGTTGTATGAATTTGGTTGTTGAATTTTTTGTGTGTTTGGTTTGTACGTGTGTGGTGAGTTGATATGTAGTATACTTGTGGTTTTTGTTTGTTTTTTTGTATTGTTGTTGAATGTGTTTTATCTTGTTTTATTGATTATGTATTGTGGTTGTCTTGCTTGTGATGATAAATAAAATGTTTGTGAAATTGTGTTGTTGTTAGATAAATGTCTGTATATAGTTGTGATTTGTGTTGATAATGTGATTTGTATAGAAGTTATTTGTGTGCTGTTGTGTTATGTTATATATTTATGTGTTGTTTTTTGTATATATTGCTATGATTTGTTGTGTTATTGTTTAGTTTTTGTGATGTTGTTTTGATATTTGGTTTGATTTGTGTGTTGTGTATGGTGTGACTTTTGTATATGATATAGAAATATAGTGTAATATTTTGTTTTTTTGTGTGTAAGTGATGATGTGTGTACGATGCTGTGTGTGTGCTGTGTCGTGTTGTGTGGTGTTTGTGTGTGTTTTTGTTGTGTGTTTGTTGTGTTTGTTGTGTTGTTTGTTTTGTGTGTTGTGTTTTGTTTTTTGTTGTTTGTTTTGTTTCTTGTGTTTTTTTGTGTGTGCGATGTTGTAGTTGTGAATACATTGTGTGATTTGTGGTGTATATGTGTGATTCTTGTGTAATTGTAGTATATTGTATGTGATTTAATTGTCGATCATATATGATGTTTTGTATGATGTTGTCGATTGTAGATGCATCTTGTGTGTGAATAAACGATGTAGTATGTAGACTTCATAGTTGCTAAAAGAAATATTATTGTTTATTATGTGTTTTTAAATTGTTTGTATAGTATAGTGTGGAGTGATATTCGTAAATGTGTTTGTGTTTGGTTGTATCTTGATGATATTGTGTGCGATGTAGAGCATAATGGTGTAGTGTTGTGTTTTGTGTCAATTTATGATAGTATAGATGAATGTAATAATGTGAATGTATGTGTGTGAAATAGCTATTAGTATGTAAGTAATGAATGAAAGAAATCGATATTAGTTGATGTGACATAAGAGAATAGTGAGATATGTAAATATATATTGTGACAAATACCAATTAAAACACTATCCTGATAATATAGCAACAGAAAAACAAGACCGAGTACATATATATATCCACGTTTACTGAAACATTGTTAGTAGCTATTCTTCCTATTTTTCTTTAAGAGACAGAACAGGCATATAGTGTATGTTATTAGGTATCCGCAAATTGATTGTACCCAGCCTGTCCTTCAAGTTTTTTTTCACACAAACGACGTTAAGCAAAGTCTATCCAGTGGAACACTCTGTAGCGCCCCCTACAGGACCTGCAGGAGTCCAATTACAGCGGTAATACACGGACCATTATGTGGTTAGCTGTATGATACGTCACCTCTGCCAGGAGAGACCAGA